ATGCACCAAGAGCTTGTAACACTCCAAAGAGAAAGGAAAACATGAAATCGCATCATATGACTCCTTTAAAAAATAAAAATCTCACTGACCCCAAACTTCTTAACTTTCTGAATTCTTTACTGGTGTTAAACTATTTTTAAGATATTTAAAATAAACTTTAATGGGTCTGAATACTTAGGACCATGTGATATTTCAGTTTTTCTTTTTTAATAAATCTGATTTTGATGATTTTAGCAAATGGCTGCAATATAACAAAGAGTGAAAAATTGAAGGGGGTCTGAATACTTTCCGTACCCACTGTATATTACCTTTTCCACTATGTGCGGTTTCATGAATTGCTTTGTGCTTCATAATTATTTTACTAGTCAAATTTAGCTGAACATCCATTAAACACTCTATTACATATTTTAAATATAGATATGTTGTGGAAAAGTTGTTTTTTGTTTTGTTTACATAGTATTTCCTATGTCCAAAAATATTAAAGAAGTATAAAGCGATATTAAAACTTTTTTTTTTAATCAGTGTAAATAAACAGATATTGTGTCAACTTAGCCCATTGTGTCAACTTAAAAGTGTAACAACATCCCCTGCTATAGGGCTATAAGTGTTATATGTATTAATTTTTTTCTTTGTTATCCACTGAAACATTCAGTAGCTTTTCTGTACTTTTGTAACAGAAGTGCTTATTCTTTTGGGTTGAAATACAGCTTTACAATCTTTTATTTCATATACATTTAAATCAGTGTGCCGAAGGGACGGAATTACTTGAACAAGCAATGAAATTAGCCAATAAATAAATAATAATAAAATATTTCTTATCTTAATTCACTTCTTCAAAAACATTTTTTTTTCTTTGAAGAACATGAATTTCCACCATCTTGGAAAAACTGCATATATGAGGTAATCTAATCTTATTTTAAAAGTGTGAAAAAGTCAAGTAAATTAAATCGCATCACATTTTATAATGAATATACATGTTTTAGGTATACCAAGCAATATTTTATCAGGCAGAAATCGTGTGTAAAAATATTTAAAATGTATAATTCTTATCCAGTAAATCAAGAAAAACCAGAAAAGTCATGGGGTCTTTGAATATTGTTGTGGACAATGTTGCATTGTAAAACGTATTATTTACCAGCATGTGTTTAAAAGGTCAGTTCATAACTATATCTGACTTCCAATGTTTATATATCAAATCTATCTTCACCTCACAAGCAGACTAAAAATAGTTCATGGAGAATGAAAGTTATCTTTAAGAGACAGCCATGGCCCATGACTGTCATTTAGGATGTGCTAAGAAAGAAAATTAGATTATTGTGTATTATCACCACAAAAACTGCATTCACAATACATATTTGACTTTATAAAAACACATTTACAGTGAGTTAGTTATCCGTCTGATTACTGCAATCAGAGCACAAGATGCCTATACAGATCCTCATTGAGTTTTATTCCTTTACATCCGCCCCTCGCCTCACTTTCTTAAAGGCAGTTGTCAATTCACAGTAAATTATTATAAATCACTTATCATTACCGCCAGGATTCACATCCCATACTGTAAATTAACAAGACTAGCTAATGCCTTCTGCTTTATTTCACTCACCTGGCGAGCTGCTGTTAAAGTCCCGTCCACATCAAACAGGCACAGTGTTGTCGGGTCCACCCTTGAACCGGCCATTGTAAAATTTGCAAACGTTGTAAACCAGTGTACGATCCGTATGAAGTTTTGCAAAGACTCAGTGTCAATCCTCCAGCATAAGAGCTTCAGTTCATCCATTCAGCAGTGCAACGTCACATCTTCCGTGTTGTCGGAAGTGTATTGGAGCGCCTGAGCTGCGCGTCAGAGTGAACGACCTCCGCGTGCTCATGAACCACAAGAGTGTGGAAAAAACAACAACACTAGGGCTTGTGTGTTACTGCTTTTGTGCAACAATTCAATAAACGAGAAGAATAAGTTGGATTTTCCAGCATCGATGTACATTATAGTTTTAGCGCGTCTTATTGAGAGTTGTATATAGAATGAGTTAATCTATTCCGCTCGCCGACACAGGGGGCGCTGTTGTGTTGTTGAGCGAGCCAGCTCTCATTTCCTCACATATACGAAGTAGCGGCATCTCAACCAACGAAACAAAACTGCTGCAAGTTCAAACTAGAGCAAGCGCAAAGAGAGACGGCTGTGAATAGTGAGGTACGTACTTTCTAGCTCATATATTTATTAATTCTAAAGAAAGACACGCATGTTAGTGCGTTCTAGTATGTGAAAAAAAAAAGTTTTATTGACGAATATTAGCGAGGTAAACGCTTGCTAATTAATCCCACTGAACTGTTAGTTTGTGTGGTTTAACTTCAAATAGCGTCTCTGTTAATGTTTACCTCATGATTAAGTATTTTAAAGTAGTTTTATTTCGTTATTTCATCTGTATTAATGAGTTATTGAGTCGGAAAAGTTAATACCTTGTGTTGGACCATGTACGATGAGAATAGGACAGTAACGTTACTCTCTGAGAGACATTCTAGTATCCTTATACCGTTTAAATGTCATGATATATGAATAAGGTAGACCTTTAGTACCATGGTATGTAGCAAAGTACTATAGTATCGTCCTCTGATACCATCGGGGAAAATATAGTGTGTGTGAAGTGAGCAAGTGTCATCTTTTAAAACACCAGACCACTATGATATGATTTAATAGATGCTTTTTAATTAACTTTTAACAAAATATGAATTATTGAGATTCTTATGTTCTGTTCAACAATGGGAACATACTAGAGAAGGCTATATTTCCGTTTTTTTTAAATAAAGAGACATTATTTGAAAATATTATTTTTGAAGAAAGTTGATAATTGAAATACACCTTATTCTTCACCATAAACTTTCAGGTGCACTTATATTTTTCAGTATTTATTTGTTAATAGCATCCTAAAGAGGTACAGAATGCATCCTTACTATGTATTAGTATTGTTTAATTTTTGGTAGGCCACTGAACTGTTAGTTTGTGTGGTTTAACTTCAAATAGCGTCTCTGTTAATGTTTACCTCATGATTAAGTATTTTAAAGTAGTTTTATTTCGTTATTTCATCTGTATTAATGAGTTATTGAGTCGGAAAAGTTAATACCTTGTGTTGGACCATGTACGATGAGAATAGGACAGTAACGTTACTCTCTGAGAGACATTCTAGTATCCTTATACCGTTTAAATGTCATGATATATGAATAAGGTAGACCTTTAGTACCATGGTATGTAGCAAAGTACTATAGTATCGTCCTCTGATACCATCGGGGAAAATATAGTGTGTGTGAAGTGAGCAAGTGTCATCTTTTAAAACACCAGACCACTATGATATGATTTAATAGATGCTTTTTAATTAACTTTTAACAAAATATGAATTATTGAGATTCTTATGTTCTGTTCAACAATGGGAACATACTAGAGAAGGCTATATTTCCGTTTTTTTTAAATAAAGAGACATTATTTGAAAATATTATTTTTGAAGAAAGTTGATAATTGAAATACACCTTATTCTTCACCATAAACTTTCAGGTGTACTTATATTTTTCAGTATTTATTTGTTAATAGCATCCTAAAGAGGTACAGAATGCATCCTTACTATGCATTAGTATTGTTTAATTTTTGGTAGGTTTCTTGAGGTAATAGAGGTTTATGAATGGCTTTTTACACTTTTATACATTTACATTTTTCCTAACTCAGCAGAGAAGGCTGTCAAGACATTGTCAATATGGACGATATGGAGGACACCACAATCTTCTCAACGCTAAAATCTTTCAAGAGTTTGATATCGGGTCCAGATCAGTCTTTGCTGGAGACTGAGCCAGCCTATGGAAGAAGTGACCTTCAGAAGCTCTATACTAAAAGGGTGGAGGCAAGTCACAGACTCCTTTCATATTTTAGCCCTCATTTTTATTAAAATTTCAACTCAGTGGTCTCATAAAATGCAGTATGTCTCTTAAAAGAATAGTTCACCCAAAAATGAAGATTTGCTGAAAATGTACACACTCTCAGGCCATCCAAGATGAAGATGAGTGTGTTTCTTCATCAAAACGGATTCGGAGAAATGTAGCATCACGTCACTTGCTCACCAATGGATCCTCTGCAGTGAATGGGTGCCATCAGAATGAGAGTCCAAGCAGCTGATAAAAACATCACAATAATCTACACGACTCCAGTCCATCAATTAACGTCTTGTGAAGTGAAAATTAAGATGAAATTCAAATCTTTGCTTCTGGCTAAAATAATATTGCTTTCTCGAGTAGAGTGCAAAAGTTGTCTTGTCTGAATCTTTCACAGACCAACCACCATTCGCAAGCAAAAACAGTTCTAAACAAATATGTTGGTGGATTTTGATGTGAGAGTACAATAGTCTCTTACTTTAGGAACCGTTATTATGGATTATGTAGTCATATTTTACCCAGAAGCAACGGTTTAAAGTTAAAATGCCTTTAATGATGGATTTGTTTCTTACAAACGCACATCTTTCGCTTCACAAGACATTAATTGATGGACTGGAGTCGTGTGGATTACTTCTGGATTATTGTGATGTTTTTATCAGCTGGTTGGGCTCTCATTCTGACGGCATTCATTCACTGCAGAGGATCCATTGGTGAACAAGTGATTTCTCCAAATCTGTTCCAAAGAAGAAACTCATCTGCATCTTGAAAAGCCTGAGGGTGAGTGAATTTTTAGCAAATTTTCATTTCTGGGTGTGAACTATTCCTTTAATATAGTACGTTGAGCAGATTACTGAATGTTGTTGTTGTTGTGTGTGGTAGTTAGAGGAGGCTGCAGAGCGTGTCCGTTCTCACACTAGCCTGTTGCAGCTCACTCAAGAAAAACAACAGATGGAGCTTAGTCACAAACGGGCACGTATAGAGCTGGAGAAAGAGGCGCACAGCAGCTCCAGAGATTTACAGGTGAGTGATAGTTGGCATATTCTTGAAAATCATGTGTTCTGCTGCAGTATTTTCTTTTACTGTGCCCTTACTCCCATTTTCTAAACCTATTCCTCAATATAAAAAAATTGCAACCTAAAACAGAGTGTAAAAACACTGTAGACAAAATCCATTAGGATGTGATTTGGTGCGTTCAAGGCTAGACTATCCAGTCTTTGCTGTGAAAAACCTAATTTGACCTGTGTGTGTGTATGTGTCTGTCTGATTGCATTTACAGAGGGAAATTGACCGTAACAGGGAGTTACTGTTGAAGATCAGACGTCTGGAAGAAAGAGAAGAGAAAGCAAATCAAGCTCTTAATGAACAAATGGAAAACAACAAGGCTTTAAAGCGTAACCTTGAGGAACTCCACAAGAAAGCAAATGAAAAAGACAGCAAACTTACTGAAGCAGACCAGGTGTGTGTGTGTGTTCATGTATCTTTTGTATTAGTATTTGTAGAGAGAGAAAAATGCTATAATGAAATGGTTTGATGAACTATTCAAATATTATTTCCTATTGAAACATAAGATTAGAGTGAAATATCAATGGTTGTAACTGTTTTTGTAATAGCCAATAGCTGCTAGGTTACCTCACAGCCTGCCAAAATCATGGTTTGCTGCTTACTAGTGCAATTCCTGTCAGCATTTTATTAGACAACAAAACTGGCAGGTGCCTCTGGAAAAATAACAGTCATATAACATTTTTTTGAGAAGGACAATGCAGAATAACATAATTGTTAAAGTTTCATGCAACAGATGCCCTGCATGTCGACTTCTGTGTGACTGAATGTCAAGATATGTGAATGTAAATAACTAAATGCATGCAAACATATATACATTAAACTTCCAAAGTTTGGGGTTGATAAGAATTTTTGAAAACATATTTTTGAAAGAAGTCTCTTATGCCCCAAAGTTGCATTTATTTGATCAGAAATACAGTAAAACAGTAATAATGTTAAATATTATTACAACAACTGTTTTCTATTTTAATTTATTTTAAAATTTAATATATTCCTGTCATGGCAAAGATTATTTTTTTCAGCAGTCATTACTCCAGTCTTTCCGTCGTCTTCTTATTATTGTTAATGTTGAAAACGGATGTACTGCTTAATTTATTTGTGGATTTTTTTCCCAGGGTCCTTTGCATAATAGAAAACATATGTAACATTACAAATACTTTAACAGTCACATTTAATTAAGTAAATGTGACCTTGCTGAATAAAAGTATTAATTTCTTTCAACAACAAAAAAAATTCTTACTGAGCCTGAATGTCTGAACAGTAGTGTACATACACAAAAAATCAAATGACTGTTCGCAAATCTAGTTTTTTTTTAATAAAAAAAAAATATATATTTTTCTGTTAATACGGTTTGGATTCCAGTTGTTTAATTGAAGTATTTTGTTTGTTGTAGATGATCAGTGAGTTGAAAGATGAGACACGAAGGCTCAATCAGAAGATCCAGATTCAGGAGTCCAAATTCTCAACCCAGAACCTGGAGATTCAGGCCCTGCAGGAACAACTGGATGTACAGTGCAAGTATGAACTCCCATGTACACAAACACACACAGTTTTTCTCATACTCTCTCTTAAATACAGATGTACTGTGTTGTTTTTCATCTGATGCTAACAGGAAGTACCAGGATGTCAGTCAGAGGTACCAGAATCTGCAGTCATCTCATTCCATCAGCACAGAGAGTGAACTCAAGATGAAGGTATTTCTGTTTGTCTTATTCTTGAATTTCTATGATGTTTGGAGCACCGAGGGATAGGGCTGTGCAATTAATCGCATGCGATTGTCATGCGCATCTCGTCAGTAAAGCGGGTTCCGTGATTGGTAGTAAATCGCCATCACCTGCTTTGATTCACACCGGTGCGGTGACTGACTGCCACACATACTCCTCAAAACATTAGATTCATCCGCGCTGGAGCCATGCCAGAGTACAACCCACACAATGAAGATAATTCTGCTAGTAACTGCAATTCCAGGTTTTTTAAACAGAGATGGCGACAAAGAGGAAAAACTTACGGACTGCAGCTTTAACATCAAGAAATTGTCTTTAATTTGTGCCCTGCTCCCTCTTATCTGTGCTGTCCATCTGCAGGAGTTGGAGAGGCGTTTGGCTCTTCAGGAGCAAGACTCTGTGATTGTGAAGAACATGAAATCTGAAATGGTCAGGCTGCCTGAACTGGAGCGGGAAATTAAACGTCTGCGGGAGGAAAACGCTTTCTTACGGTATCAACATTCTCATCATCAGACTTTTTCTGTGATGGATGCATACATAAATCATTATAGTACTACTTTCAATTATCTCTCAATTTCCATCTCAGAGAGACAAAAGAGAACAACAGTCTGCTGAAAGAAGAGACTGAGGGGTTGAGGAAGAAGTTGGAGAGAGTGGAGAGAGTGATGGAGGAGAAACTCAAAGCGGAGTTGGAGAAGTTTTTTGAACCAAGAAGAGTACAAGGCTGGCTGTGCACAAAGGCTATTTCTAAAAAAAGAAAGGGTAAATTCCGTGTTTGCTATGACAATCTGGCGTTTTTGAATCCGCGACTGTAAGTATGTTTTGTTATTAGTTTAAGTTTTTACTATTGAGTTCGGCCAATCACAATGCACTGGGTCAGCTGGCCAATCAGAGCAGACTGCGCTTGTCAAAGGAGGGAGCTTTGTTGAAAACGACGTGTTTGAGAGAGGCGGGGCATAGAGGACCTACAATAATGTACAGTATTTGAAAAATAATGTGTTTTTTTTCATATTAAAGCATGTCAACATATTCTGTTATACCAAATACACAAAATAATGATCTTTAAAATAGCATCATATGACCCCTTTAATATAATTCTCCTCTAAAAATATTGTGTATTATATCTGCAGTTTTATGGGCATTCATGGTCTAAAATATCTCTTGAATGAACAAGAATTTGTCCATGTCTTAGTAAAAGTTCTGACAAAATAATTTATTTCTTTTGCTTGCATTTTTAATGTGTAATTTTTGCAAATTGTTTTGTAATGTCTGGTCTTCAGATGCTATGTAAGATTGACTCTCTGATTATTAATTATATTGTGCTTGATATTTCACCCCAAAAGGAAAAATTTGGAAAATAGATTTGCATAAAACAAACAAGTCTCTTGCCACTTCTTTTCAGAATTGGAACAAATTATGAGATTTTATTTAAAATGTAAAGTATTTATACATAATGGAAGTTTTTGTTTTGCCATATGTTGTATGGTGATTTTAATCCATCATTGTGTCTGGATGTGATTTTTATCTTCTAGAAACTGGAGCAAGAGCTGCAGGCTTGGGAAAACATTGGCCAGGCTGCAGGACTTAATATTAGGTGGGTATTTTCTTAATATATTTTTTAAATAAATGCATGGCTAAAGTAATTCTCTGGCTAGAAATGTTGCTTTAAAAGTCTAATAGATAGCTGATAATCAATATATGAAGCCAGATTTGAGGGTATTATTATTATTATTATAGTAAGCACTACTTGAAATCTGAAAACCTAATAGTTTTGGGGGATATGGTGGATTACAAAGCCACTAGAGGGTGCTCTGATCTCAAGAAACTTGTCTCTCCTCAGTGTCTGCACCTGTGTAGGTCTGTTAAATTGTGTTAAGTCTCAGTTGTTATTGCTTGTAAATTCTACATGCTCTCTGGCCCTGCAATGTTTTCAAGGTCAGCTTGTTATATATGCTAAAACAGCAGCTGATGTGGAGTAGTTTCAGTGTGTTTGCATATGCATGTGTTCTGTTGATCCTGTGAGGTGTAAATGTACTCTGTCAGTCATGTGGAAAGATGTAAACATTGTCTGTTTAATGGCTTATGGGGATTTGGTGGGACACACAAACACAGTGCTCTTAAAGTACCCCTCAAAATGACAAGCAGTGAGTCTCTTATTTGTCAATCACTGCACTAAAATGTCAGACTCCAGAGCGAGTGACTGATCTTAATCTGTTTAACATCCGTTACCAATATTTAATGATATTATATGTAAACATCTGCTGAGAGAAAACGGACAGAATAATAGTTCCAGAGACATTTTGAATATGTACTAGTCACTTTTTTTCTGCAGTCAAAAAGAAGAGACCAGAGCTTCAAAAAAGATGCAAAGGATAGTTTTGTGTGAGGAACAGAATGAACTTTAAGGCCTTATTTCATTAGAATCTTGATGTCAACAGGTTCATAATCAAATCATTCATAAGGTTGTTTTTTTCAATGAATCAGTTAATCTAATCTGAAATATTAATTTATAATTTTCATTTTGATTTAATGAGGGGAAGAATAACAACCTTAATTTTGGTTTATTTTCCACACAAAGCTATTGCATGACTGCAGAAGACCTGGCATAAAGGTTTTCATGTTGCAATGAATAGAGTGATTGGTAAATTATTAATTTCTCATTTAGTTTTCCATTGAAGAAAAAAAAGCATACAGGATTAAAATGATAACAGAATTGTCATTTTTGGTGAACTACGGTCAAAGAGAAGGTGGGAAATGGTCATGTAAGACTAAAATAGTTAAATTGAGGGCTCTCTATTATAAATAATAAAAGTTATTAAACCCTCAGAAAGCGTAGTTATTAATATGTATAAATCATTTGGCTAACCTCAGGCTGGTTCTTATACCAATCAAAAATGGTGAACTGCATGGTTTGGTGTTGATATGCATTTCTACAGTATTTCTTATGTTTGATTTATAGAGGAATGGAAACTCTAACTCAATGTAGGTTACTGAATGATGGCATTGATTGACAGCCTGACATACTAGGACGTTCACAGAATGAAATCTTAAAGGGGTCATATGATGCAATTTCAAAT